CGATTCAAAATGTAGCTGAGCTCCGGCAAAGACTATTGGAAGCAGCTGAGTTTGTTAATAATCGTGGATTCGCTCGTTTAATAACCCGATCTTTTTTAAGAAGATGTCGAGCGTGTATTGCGGCTGAAGGAAAACAGTTTGAGCATTTGCTCTAAAGGTAAATCATCATCAGCAGCATTTTGACGCCCACTGTTGTGCAAACAGTTATCCTTAAGGGTTCTTGTGCGTTTTCATAATCGCTGTTTAATTAGGAAATTTTGAAAAATTTTCATCAGTTTTTCTTCAAATAAAAATTGTGCATAAGTTAACGAGTAATCTTCTAAGTGTTATACCATTTTGGAATCCTTATTAAATGCGCCAACTTTTAAGGTTACTTGCCAAACTCTCGTAGTACATTTTTTCCAGTGCAGCCAGTTAAAGTTGAGCAAAGTTTTACTTTGGAATACTTGGTTGGTAAATAAGTGGCAATTTTTCCTGAACGAGAAAAGTTGGCAGTAAGGTTGAGACACCAGTGTGAAGATGCATTATTCATCATTACATTGTAAAAATAAAATCCAAAAAAAGTTAATATTTGTAGTAACAGGAGTTGAGAGACTGCCGTAGGGTGTGAAATTTCTATATTTCTTTCAAAGACCTATAATTTTCAAAACATATATATACATAAAATTTTTTTAAATATTTTTCTGATAGCTGTTATGACTTTGCCTATCACCCGGTTTCGGCTTGACGTCGACTTCTGGGACACCCTGTATATGAAACAAATATATTCCTTTGAGATCTGTCAAAATTAGAACAAGAAAAGCTCCATGCTATGACTAGTAGGGATGTAAACCATTATTAAAGTTAGGTGAAGAGAGGAAAATGCTATTATGGATTATAGACGATTGATGAATTTAATCAACAGAAAAAAGGTATTACTAAAAACTTTATTTCAACAAAGACAGCAAAGAACCGTGATGTTAAGAACTTCAAATATTATTCGAAACAACATGTAAGGGACATATTTAGAGAACCTGATGAAATTAATAATTATTTTTTGGTCCAAAAAGTGGTATTAACTTGATAATAATTATGATAATAATAATAATAATAATAATAATAATAATAATAATAATAATAGCTTTATTGTCCAACAGTTTCACATTTATAGGACAATTTATAAACATAATACAAAAGCAACAAAAAGCGAAAAGAAAACAACAAATGCAACACAGGTATAAATCTGTAACATGAGCTATTGGTCCGAATAAGCCTTAGCTGCCTTTAGCAGGTAATTAACATTTGTCGTAAATATATCACAGTAACATCCAATTCTGTTTAAGTTAGAGCACATTACATATAACGGTGACTTGAGAAGAATGTTTGTCCTAGCTCTAGGAAGCCCGAATATTTTATGATTGCGAGATGCAAACGTTGGAGTACGAAACTTGATCTGTTCCAGGATCAAGGGGCAATCAATTAAATTGTTGATCATTTTGTAGCCAAATATTATTGAGGCACAGTACCTACGTTTTTTCAAAGTCAACATGTCTAAGCGACTACATAGTTCCTCATTACTTGTACCTCTCTCTGGATATGTCCGATCAATCCTAAACAGAACAAACTTCATAAACTTCCGTAGTACTATTTCAATAGCTGTGCTATAGCATTCATAGTAAGGGCTCCAAATAATACTACAATATTCGACTTTGGATCTAACATAAGCATAATATAATAGCTTAATAGACTTTATGTTATGAAAATTCCTGCAATTCCTTACTATGAAACCATAAGCCGCCAATGCTTCTGATGCTTTTTTATTTATATGCTGACTAAAACTTTTGATCATAGATTATACCTAAACCACGTACATCAGAGCATCTTTCTAGCACAGACCCATCAATAGAGTACGGACATTCGCAAACATTAATTTTCCTGGTATAGCTGACTATTTTACACTTCCTCATATTAAGCTCCAACTTGTTTTCTACACACCGAGACAGCACAAAATTTAATTGGTGTTGTAGCTTGATACAATCATCAGGAGTATTTATCTGCGAATAAATTTTTAGGTCGTCAGCAAAGCATAGGCGTTCACATTCAACTGAGTCACAGAGGTCATTAATAAATATCAAAAACAGTAATAGTCCCAGGTTGGACCCCTGAGGAACTCCAGAAGGTGCCAAGTAGGTCTCAGATTGGAAGCCATTATAGCTAACAAATTGTCTACGATCGGATAAGTAAGATTTCATCAACTCCCTAGCATCATCTGTGAAACCAAGTGCACCTAACTTATTTAATAAAGTTTTGTGGTTAATTTTATCGAAAGCCTTCGAAAAGTCGGTATAAATAACGTCAACTTGCTCATTACTATCAATGGCTTCCGAGAGGTACTGCGTTATTATAAATAGATTTGTGGTTGTTGAGCAATTAGCGACAAATCCGTGTTGATGCAATGACAGCTGACGCTGTACGGCAGTGTAAATGCGACTGTACAAAACTATTTCAAAGACTTTCGAGAACATGCATAATATACATGCATTCCCACACTTAAACACTGGACAGACCTTAGCGATCTTCCAAATATCTGGAAATATTTTTGTTATAAGACAAATATTAAAAATCCTAGTTAGAACACCAACAAACTTCATTTTCCTCAATTGGATGAAAATGGACAAATAAATTACTATAATTTAGTGAGGCATTATTATGGGGCTTGTGAGTGACATAGACGCTGCTGAAAAACTCACTGAATGCGTTTATTATATCCTGAAGCTGATCTATAGAATTAATTTGAAATTTCATTATCCCTGGGATTCGTGATGTGTTGTTTTTGGAGTGACCGTATGACCAAAAAGCATTGGGGTTAATTGTTAAAGAATTCTGGATATTTTCAATATACTGATCATACGCTGATTTAAGCTGGTTTTTTATCAAGCGGCGCAAACGTCTGAATTCTTGTAGATCATCAACAAAAGCAGACCTGTTGATTTTTTTCCTAAATTTAGATTTACATGTAAGTTTAATTTTCTTAATAATAGCTGAGTGAAACCAATGCGGCTATCGGTGACTGTAATTCTTATACAGAGGTATGTGCCTGTCAAAAATTTGGAACATGTTGCCATAAAATACATCAACAATATAATTAATATCAGAAGAGCAGAATAAAACATCCCAGTCAAATTGAATTATCTCTTGATACAGGTTGACAAAGTCAGCCTTTCTGTAGTTATAAGTTACTTTACTATGATTGAATGTAAACTTAGGCTCTTTAATGAATATGGCAGTCAAATCAACAGCTAGTGCCGGGTGGTGACTATCTTCTGGCACTAGAGGTAGTTCATCTCGCTTAATAGTACAGGGTAATTTAGAAATTACCAGGTCTAGCGACCGACCAAGTTGATTTAAGACATTATTTGACTGCTTATAATTAAAAATGTCAAAAAAATTATGGATAATGCGTGTCTTAGGGTCTAGAAGATTGCCATTTACTAGTTGAGGCACATTAAAATCTCCTAGAAACAGGGAATTACAGTCGTGCAAATAATCCAGTTGCTCAACAGCATCAAAGAACGATTCAAATTCATCAACAGCAATTTTGTCAGGAATGTACACAACAGCCACAAAAAATGTCTTATATGAAACATGGCATCTCACTATTAAAAGATCAATTGATGGAAATTGTGCATCAAATACAGCAACATCTATAACCTCAGATTTAATGCATTCCTTAACAGCTAGAAGCACTCCACCGGCACATTCCTTATCAACCAATGTAAACTTACGGTCCTTCCTATGGACAATATAAGAGTCAGGAATTAGTTCAGTACTCAAAACATTCTCATTCAACCACGTTTCACTTAATGAAACTAAGTCATATTCACTATCACTAATAGCCGGACTGATTATATGTAACTTACTATTCAACCCACGAACATTTTGATAGTAACACAACAAACAGCACGAGCTCGAACTAGAGAAACTGCTGGAACACTTCAGTTTAAAGACTTCACAATTTTTGGATTCCCATTAATATATCTAACCCTGAACTTCTGCGTGCCTTCAGCATTTCTTGCATTCACATCCTCTTGCAACTTTTTGTAGTGGTCAATCTGCCTACGAGTACGATCAAATGAAAGCGATATCTTCGTGTAAGCGCTATTTTTCAAATTACTTGCCTTTTTAATCAGATTAATGACTTGAGTCTCGTTCTGTAAGACCACCTTGACTGGTCTGTTTTTCCCGGCGCCAAATTGTCCCAGTCTAATTACTGATGCATTTTGTAGCTGGAAATGAGGATCCACCACTCTAAAAATGTTCCCTACATCAACTTTATCCTTGTCTGCCCTGGCTTGGGGCTGGTCACTCTGATTTTGCTCCGGTAAGCCAAATACAATCATATTCCGCTTACGGGAGTTGCGCTCGTTCATTTCTCCAATAATCTCTTCAAAATCAAAACCATTAGCTGGAGCAGCAGACTTCAAAGCATTATTCTCAGCCTTTAAATTAAGTTTTTTAAATCATTTAATTTACTCCCAACCTGTCTACAGTTGGTACAGGACCAAGAGTAGCCCTTATCAGGATCATTTGGCACATTGATTTCATCAAGTGAAAGATTGACACAAGCATGCCTGAAGGTTCTTGTACATATGGCGCATTTCACCATTAAGTCAGCTTTATAAGACTTCCTGCAACATGCACAAATCAAATTAGATGGCGGCATCTCAATTTGTGTTACGCCACTGAAGGCACGATAACTTGGTAGTACAGCACCAGAAAATGTTTCTAATAGTATAAGGTTATATTTTGGTTTTTATTTAAAAAGAGAAAAAACTCCAGATAACTCACGTATTACGAAGGCACACAGTAATTAAATAGAAACAAATTTTGCAATAAAATGTGGGACCAAATGAAAACACAAGATCACACCAGCGATGTTACTAGCGAAAAAATGGAATATAAGTTGCACAAATGCATATTCATTTCAGTCTAACACATGAAACAATAGTTTTAATACACTCACGACAATAAGAATCACATCTCCGGGTCCTGATGACGTCTCGGTATCCTTGACCAGCTTTTTGCAATGCGGTTCCACCCGCGGAACGTGTAGGTGGCACCACTAATAAGGTAATCGAATTTCCCAAGCGACAAAGCTAGCTGTCAATTTACTAACGCCAACAAATATAAGGCATATTCTTTAATTCACCAGTAGATTCCATCACTGATGGATCCGGTGAACTTATGGTTGACAGCTGATGCAACCGGTTCCGTTGAATGGTGGCTGACAAAAAGATGCATTTTTAGCTTTCAGGTTGCTGTCATATGAGAAAACTTTTGTTTTATCGTAAATGGATGCTTCGTAACTTGAACTCTGTATCATTTAAAAACAGGCCAATGTACGTAGCGGCTGGTATTGTGGTGGAAACTTTGTTAAGTGATTCGAGTAATGATTCGGATAAAGAAGTTATCCAGTGGATTATAATACATGTTGGGTGGCCAGCCAGTCTAACGCAATGCACTCAAGACACAAGTAAGTGTAGTCATACAACATCGACTAAAATATAATCTAACATTATAATTGGACTGTACTATAAAACTAGCTAAAAAAGGTACATCCCGGTGAAAGGAAAAATAAATTCTGCGGGGTATACTACTCGTTTTTCTCTAAATTAGATCCTTTCATGGAAACAACAAAATGGGATGACGGATGTTTGCAGGCAGTATTTGTTCTGCCAGCATACGGAGTCTTGTATGCACGCCCAATTGTTTTAAATTTGCTTTGTGTGAGTTAATTTGAGTTGGAGTTGTTATACTATGTAGGATGCACGTTGCTGCATGGAAAGGATGTCCTGTTAGTCTTTTGAAAAAATCGGTAGTTGGTTTATGAGAGAGAGTGAAATGAGCTTTGGCGTATTGCTATACTTTCTTCCTACGGCTACCCATAGAAGCTTTGGAGATTGCAACGGTGTTTTCTTTTTGCAAGCTATTATTTTAATTGACCAGCTAGTATGTTAGTTAGTTCTAAACCAGTTACTTGCACTGAAATTTAATATACATGATTCGTTCTCATAACAATATACAATTAACTAAATGGCGCGAATTTGAGCCCAATATGGCGGGTGACAAAACAATGGCGATTAACAATTTCATGAAATAAGCAAAGAGAGGAAAGTGGTATCATTTTAAACTATATAGTGCTTCTACGCCCCATACTTATTTTTTGATGACGTCAGGCTAGCGGGCTAATATTTGGGATGATGAAGTTGACGCATGAATACTATATTTTAACGTAAAAACAACAGTTAAAAGTTTCAAAATGGCGACTGGGCGCCAACTTGTGATTTATTTTATGTTGAATGGGGAGTCGCGGGATACCTTATCCTGCTCCTTATGAGTACTTTAGAACTATTCAATATAAAATTACTAACTGCCAAATGGACGGGCTAGCAGGCTGTCAAAGTTGACCTTTTTTGTAAATTGAATCGGTTATAATTCAACGACTAATCATCAAAACAGTATTGTATGATACCCCAATTTTCTTCTTTTGGAAGGCCCTATCTGAATACGCATTGAAATATGAGAAATTCTGTTGGAAAAAAATGTTACAGACTAAAATGTTTTAATGGAATGTTCCATATTGTTTTATATATTCGGATATACCCTTCCAAGAGAAGAAGATCAGTATAACATGCTACAGCGTTTGTATGACTGGTTATTGAGTTATGTGGGACTCAGTGTAGGGAAGCACTCAACTATGACAGCTTGTTGGCTAGCCATTTTCGAAAAGAGCGATTTGATGTTTAAGAGTTGTAAAGTCGTCATAAGCCACTTCAAAATGAGGTATTCACGACCCCCATTGCATTTAAAGAAATATTCCTAATTGGCGACCAGTCATCATATTGAGAATTGCAGTTTTCGAGCTCGACCTGTTCGAAAAATAAGTAGGAGGGGAAACTTTTCGAAAAGGACTGTATCGACAAGCTTGATGAACGATGCAGAACAAGTAATGCAACGTCACTGTAAATCCAACTTAGCGGCGCATAATGATTCATTGTAGTATTATTATGACATGGAGCTGATCTGATGATCAAGCTGGTAGATGACCACGGGAACTGTAATAAAATGATGCAGACCCATACTGAGGATCGGGGTGTCGTACGTCTTATTTATAATAATATTCACAAGCCGTGGCAAGTGGCGCAGCCCCTTGAAGATACTCTATTTCGGCGGCACATCTATAAGGTATCTGTCATCAGTGAGCAAGTTGATATCTCATAAGGCGAATGTCACGCGATTTTTACTGTGGTCCGTATCATCAGTATTGACTGATGATTCCGCCAGTGTCAGTTGATTGCTACGTAACCTTACACATCACTAATTGAAGGGTCGGCCGGAACAACGTTGTATGTAACAAAAAAGCTCAGTGGCCGAATTTAAGAAAAACAAATTTGAACCATTTTTTTCAAATGACTGCGTCTATAGTTGGCCAGCACAATAAAGGAACACTAGTGATACAAGGTTATTGTAATTTAAAAATGTGACACCTATTTTGCAGCAATGGCAACCATTTTTATGGAAAACGCATGTAACAAGGTTGTATGATCACGTTACTTACAACGTTGTTACAGGGAGGCTTTAAATGACTATAAGCAAAACAAGTATTTTCAGCAGTTCTTTTTATTAAGGGAACCAAAGAACACAGTAACATATTTTTAATAACAAAAAAATACGTTCTAAGTTCATCAACGTGTTTCGAAACCAAAACTGAAACTTAAATAAGTATTACTGGGTTGCAGTTAATTTCTCATAAAATTTTACATACTTAAGCGAAATATAATCACTCATATCCTCAAGGTTTTTTATTTTTTCATCTTTGATTGGAAGAAGGTTGTGATACATTATAGGTAACTTTTCGGATTATATGATATCAGTGGTAAAAGTCATTGTTTCTTTTCTTTTACGATTGCTTATGGGAAATGAATTCCAGGGCTTCATAATATTATGAGATTTTCTCATTCTCAAAGTAGCTGGAGAATCAGCAGTAAGTTGCAGCCACAATCCTTGTGTAATTTTACATTTGAGGTATTTCCATATACAATATTCCAAAGCTGTTAAATTCTCAAAGAAGGCTTCGTGCATCCAGACAACTTTAAAAGGATTTTTAACTTTGGCTTTAGCAATGACATCTACCCACTGGAATGGTTCATAAACCATAGATATTCTTATTTGTTTACGTACATACAACGTTCTTACGCGGAGGACTGAAATAGCGCGATTTACAAATTCACAGTGATTGATGCGAGTAAACAGGTGGGTCTATGTTGTCAACGGGTCCCAATAGGCACATACTACGTTGTTTTACGTAAATCTCATTTTATAGAAAAATGTTATATACAACGTTGTTCCGGCCGACCCTTCAATTACTGACGCCAGGCTACAGGGTCAATAAACATTATCCGTCACAATAATTGCTTTGTCGTAAGGGGGATTTTTCATCGAATTTGGTCAACTCCAAAGATTGTCGCGACCTCAGTATGAGACAAACATTTTCAATCTATTAAGGCACTTCTAAACGCACCGCATTGTCACTGCGTTATGTAGCAGCAGTGGATCAGCAGTAACCTTGCCATTATAGCAGCAAGACTATACAACATACGTAACGTATTCCCTTATGACGTGGCTAGATCCTTGACTTTTCCTAAACACTATCATATATTGATGTCAGATTGCCGAACGGAAGATAAATGAAAATACACTGCCATAATGCAGCTTTCATGTTTAGTATCACGTCTAATGACGAAATTTGGCATGTGTATGTACACGCATTGTGGTCAATATGGCTGATAAATCGACAGCTAGGTCAGATGCTACAGTATGGAAATAGAGACTGAGCTGTAGAGTTATCATAGTCATTTCCATATATTGTAGTATAAGTAATGCTCGTTTAGAGGCTCTCTTTTATTATAGAAACGAAAGTTAACAAATTACACCAAGCTATGATAAGAATGAATTGCTACTTACCCGGCAATGCCTCCAGATTCCATATGATTGGCTAGAGTGACATCGTCACTCCAAACGTCGAATTGCCACTTTCTCAAACCCAGTACACCGCACAATACGTTGCCTGTATGAATTCCAATTCTCATGTCCACATTGAATCCTGTCGCTTCTCTCACAAACCTGAAAAAATATTCTATATCACCTTAAACCTCATTCATACATTAAATGAAAGTTTTTATACGTGATACTACTGGTCGTTCGACAGTTGAATTTAAGGTGGATGTACCACTCAACAGCCATATATTCCAATGTAAGGTGAAAGTGCCGTTGAAAAATGATATACAGATACCTCCGCCTAACAACAAAAGGGTCTTCGCCACCGGATGGACTTAAACACGCTCAGCTATGCGTTGCCAGAATAAATCTGGTCACTTCTATCAAGCCGCGATTAAACTGATCAGCTATAGCTTGCCCGAATATATTCAAACCACAAATAGGGCTGAGGCGACAGTGTAAGAAGAACATAAATTTACGACTTATTCGACAAGAGTTGCATTGAGAACGGAGAACACAAAGATACCTGTATGATTTAAACGATTCGAATTGTCACGCAGAACGAAACTTTCATAACTGTTTTCTGTATACTGACACCTTCTCGTGTTTTGAAATATGGTCTATGCCAAAAAGTATACAGTTCTACGTGGGAGAACTTCAGGGACCCATTACTCAAAAAATTGATGTTGGCTGAAATATTTTCAAATTTGTGGCGGTTCCTGTTGTAGCAAGAAAGTAGCAGCTTGCTTATTTCAAATAGAATACACTATAATTATTCAATTTTTGTATTCTACGCTAGATTTTAAAAACTTTTCAACATATCGTTCTCTCGATAAGTCTAATAATCTCACAAATACCCCAGATTTTGCGGAAAAAATGGCAACTACAGGCCAATGAATTATAAATACGTTTCTTGTATTGCCTTTGTACTTTAAATTCTAGCGGGTTTTCGGATAGTAAGGGGCATACTTTAGTAGATTTATTTCTGAATTTGAAGTAAAGGAAATTAGATCAGAAAAACCAAAATGCAGATTTTGTCAAATGCATACAACCTCTTTCTATAATCTCATCATTTCATGCGTTGAAATAAGGTTAATTTTGAATAACGTCTTCGCAAGTCAGTAGTTTCCAAGGTATATGGAAGTATTGATCTTTTCTTCCCTATCCTTGTTTGGTATTCGTGTAGTAGTAGTATCAGTTTGCTAAGAGTCAGTGTAGGTTTTCTGAAGATTCATCAGCAACTGCACAGATTTAATATATTGCAAAAGCACAAAATTGAATATACAAAAATATAACTAACACAACATTACAAAAATTTAAGAGCAAACGACCTCAGAAGCACAAAACCTTGATGGACTATTTATTTTTGAGATAGACATAAAAAAAAACAGTTCATACTAATTTTTTCGAGTAAAGCACTTAAAAGTAATACAATTCTTCGCTTATTCTGATATGCGAACCATTAATTCTTTTCAATTTTCATGTCTCCCCTGATTGCCTTTTTTGCATTTTGTAGCAAGTGGTTATAAGCATCTTGGTTCCAGTTTTATTTGATGATTCATAAATTTTGTAAGTCAAATCATCATAATCAGTTCTTTGTCTGCGTCACACATTAAAATCATGCAAGAATTAGATCTGGAAGGAACAGAAGTACGAAGGGTACGGGAATTTAGTAGAAATGAAAATGACGCCTAGTCATTTATTTTTAACAATCTACAACATAAGTATACATAGTGTATAATGGTGCTGTGCTGGGGTGTATAGTTTGAACTGAAATTTTGAAATGTTCATGAAAATTTCAATCATATATGTATGTTTTGACCATATTTTGAATTTGCGCAGTTGCCATATCTTTCCAGTGAATCTTCAAAAAACCTAATACGTACTCTAAAGCCGAATGGTTATTTCATTAACAACTCATATAAAATACGAAGCAAGCAAGGGAAAATGCATTGAAAATACTGGCTCACATTTGGCATTGAGTGTATAAAAAATCATTTATTATAACGCATATGTCATATTTTGAGAACTCGGAAACTATTTGTATAGGAAGAATGAATGAGTGACAAAAATAACATAACAATAGCAAACATTATTGAACAAGGGACTGTTTGTCGCATGGTTTTTTCTGTTCCTGGGATTCCACCAAATTTTGCGTAACTCAAAAAATATTCGATTTTGCATGTGTGGCTTAATGTCTTCTAAATGTGATGTGTTATCAGGCCTTAAAAGATTAATACCGACTTGCTGAATATACTGTATAAAACTTTATAACATAGCTCTGGAACAGTGAATTTGGAAATCCATTGTAAATAACAGATAATTCACCCTAGCTACATACCAATGCATTTTTTCAATGAAATATGGATAGTATTATTGATTAGTAGATAAGTAACGAAAATAACTGTTATTTGATTTATTTCGCTTTTCCACTAACAATTAATTATGTATGGGTGATAGCCATTAGGCTAATGATAACGCTATATGGCTATTAACTCGGGTACTTGAGGAATAAGCCATTGAACCATACAAAGGGCTTAATAAAATGAAAGTAAATATGCAATTTAAACTTTCGAGGTTACTTCTAAGGACACAATGTATGTACTAGAAACAGGTATGATCGACTTGTAATGACAATTAAGAAAAACGTGAGCACACATGTTGAAGTATATTTTTGGTGGCTTCAGCTCATTAAAGCTGAAGGTAAAATTCATACCTGGAAAGGGGTAAAAGTTTTTTCCTACTAAATATAGGAGTTTTAAAACAGGTAATGTAATTGTTGGTTTGAGTGAGCTACAGACATAATACGTAAGGCTTACCAGCTTCACACTTAGTTGACAACATGTTGGCGTATATTTTTGGTGGTTTTAGCTCATTAAAGCTGAATGTAAAATTCATACCTGGAAAGGGGCAAAAGCTTTTACCTACCAAATACTGGGGTTTTGAAACATGTAATGTAAGTTTTGATTTGAGTGAGCTACAGACATAATACGTAAGCTTCACACTCAGTTGGCAACTGGGCTGTTATAGAGATTTAGGAAAAAGTATCTATTAACATGTTTACCTTTCAGATTATTTTGTAGCTCATCAAATAAATAAGTGTAGATGTTATTCCTAGTTTGCTATTCCACTGTATTGTAGAATCATATACCCGTGGCTTTACGATGGCGGGAAAATTTTTGTGGTGGCAAGAGCAGACTAAAGACCATATGTCTAAGCTTACACATATGTATATATTATGTCTAAAGGTGAAGCTGGTGATTTCAGTGTGACCCGCCAAAAACAGTGAAAAGAATATACTCAGGTTTACTAGAAAAGAAAAATTGAGGCGCTCATTATGTAATAGTCAGCCTGAAGAAAAAAATATAAGCTCAATGTAGTACCCATTATTCCAACGAGGAGCAACGCTCACATAAGGCTTAACGAGTGCCGTCATTGCATCCTTGATACGTGCAAACATGGCACACTAATTGGTTAGTTCAATCGCATATAGGGAGAGCTAGTGTCAGTCGAAGGCCAAATTAATTACCATCCAGCAGATGAGCGGTAGGAGCGAGAGCGTAATACCGTTTCGAACCAACCGTAATTGATTTAAATCGAAGCGGTAGTCTGCAGAATTGTCAGATATTGGTGACTGGGGAGTCAAATCACGCATAATTTGGTGAAGTTTGAGTCAACAGTTATACTAATGAGCCGATGAAACTGTCTACCCATAGCGTTCAGTATCATGGAGTTGTTTGAAGTGTGGGGTGTTTAATTAGTAACGCTCTGATTATTTAACCACAGTCGGCTCCGTAACTATGAGTCCTATATCAGTACGATGTCCACCATTATTCGTTATCTCATGCCCTAGGCGTGTCATGCTGATAATTCTTAACAAGGATAGGATAATGCTAGTGGGTCCACAACCTGGCTAGGTAGGTCATATCTCAGGTCGGCCTCATCTTTTTTTCTGGATAGTGCTTATGGAGAAATGGAGAATTGTAAAATTATGTGTCCCAGGTCAAACAGGTCGGACTGGAGATGCGTTAAAATTTTTGAGCTTCAGAAATAATGTGAATCTTACAGCTTCAGCATTTTCTCGCTGTCCCTGGAATGTATTACGCCCTATAATATATATCTATTCCATACTATGGTTGTCCATGGAACAGAAAACTGATATACAAGTTGAGATCTTATAATTCTTTCCGCGGTTATAAACAAAATTGATTTTTTGTGAAGGATCAACATATCTCATATGAATTATATTAAAATGTCAAATAGTAAATGTATCCAATGGTCTATATTTTAGACAATAATTAGCCATTTCCATAATACTGGTGAAACTAGAGGATGGCTCATATCTCAGACTGGGCTCATTTTTTTCTGGAGAGTACATATGAAGGCACGAGGCTTTGCAAAATCTCAGATTTCTACGTCGAACAGTCGGCTCTGGAGTCATGCTCAAGCGTAGAACGTCCGGAAAACAAGCTAATTCTAGCCTTTCTGGCAGCTTTTTCCATTTTCCCGATACTCTGGTCCTTGTGGAGTAAAGTTGTCCGGGATAATAAAAAATGATCTCCAAACATCTTAGGTTGGATCCAAAGACTCATTGCTTGTATAAAGTAGTTGATCTTTCAGTAACAATGCATAGGAAACATTTCAAGTAACCTAGAAATAGCACTAAGACTTCTTTCTTATAGCTGACCTTGATACACTGCGTTTCCAAGGACACCAACTGACCTTGGAACAAATTCTTAGGGACGTTCAAGCACATCGAAGGAATGAAAGCTCAGAAACCATCAATTAGAAATAACCTAAAAATGCCATACTCAGATGTCAAGGAGGAGGTCCAGTTATCACAAGTTGTGGGAATCCCTTATAGGCCTGACATACTGTGTTTGGGCGTTTGGGCAACGGGAATCGTGGCAATGTTGCTGGCTCGCGCCATGCATAGGTGAGCTTTTAAGAGAGAAGGAAATGCACGCAACAACACATCCTTTCTTCTAGACCTATGTTCCATCTCCGGCACGGCCTTACAGATTTGTTCACCGTAGATCTATAGGCAACAACCGAATCTGGAATATCAGGTTCTAACCTCCATACTTTAGAACAGTTCGGAAGACAGTGTCACAGCCGGAATGAGTTCAATTTAGCCGGAAGTGAGTCAGGAAGCTTGACGCCAATCGCGACCAGTCATACATTAGTGATACGAGTTCTTATAACTTAGTGTATTAATGAGAAATATTTTATTTAGTGAATACGTGATTTCGTTACAATGGTACGATACCCAGAAACAGGTTAAGCAAGCTGGCTGAACAAAAGAGTTGCTAGGAACATGTTGGAGGGAATCGTCCAGCATACAGATTCTAGTCTGCTCGTGAATCGCTAGGGTTGGATTAGTCGAAAATTAAATAACAGTATTTGACGAAATAAACTTTTCTACTCGGGAGTCGTAAAATACTGTTAAAATTACGCTAGAATAAAATACTCTCTAATCTAATCTTTTGTTTTCCGGTACTAGGTATCTACATCACGGCAAAAAAAAACGTAGAGTTTTATTTACATCACGCTCGGTGCTTTGTTCCAAAGTTTTGAGAAGTTTTTATGATCAATTCTTTTACATGGTCACTCCAATATATGATGTATACGCTACCTGCTATTGTACAGAAATGTTTTGTATTCCACATGCCAAAGAAAAATTTATCTATAATAGCAGAGTGGTATGAGAAATTAGGTTTATCCACGACCACATTATGAATAATATATGATAAGTAAGCAACGACCAAATAAAAAAATGTCATAAATTGGACTCATTTCCATCCACAATGCTACGGCAAGACCGATCGAATTCGTCATGAATTTTTATGACCTTATCCTCCAATCAGCATTGACAATGAATACAAATAAACTCAGGAACGAAAGCACATTTTTAGCCAAAAGGTCTACCAACACACTTGTGTATATTTCTGAGTTATATAGTCGCTGGAAATACTTGTTAAATACGCATTTTGAACTCTCCCGTGAATATTATTGATTATTGATGTCTAGTGATCTGGATTAGTTTTACAACTTTCATACTTATCAGGTCAAATCGTCTCCCGCCATATTTATTCTAAAATAGCTTCATGATTATATCCATTTATACAAAATGCAAAATGCTAGCAGTCAAATTACAATTGTGCTTAATGTGTGAAGGTAATGATAATTTATTAATAGAGCTGAAAATGAAACGTTACTTAAAGCAACTTGTATCGAAAAACGTTCACGTTTAAGCCTGAAGTATTTTGAAACAAATGCTCACTTGATGCAAAATAACCTTCTCCGAATTTCGAATATCTATCGATAAAACCTATCCCACATTACATTCGACATATTTATTTTTGTTTTCATTTAGATACAATGTTGGTTATTAGTTCAACAAAGGTTTGCAACAAGGTAAGGGTCGTCATATATTTCCTTAATGTGCCCACCGCGAGCTACAACCCCTTGTAAGTTTTATTAACATTCATCATAACGTCATTTTTCTACATTGGTGTCCTGTATTTCATCCCTTACCAACGATACTCCAATACCATACTTAGCAATATTCCCGATCACATAGGATAGACTATAGCTAGTTCCTAAGCTATACAGCGTATCCGGTTGTATTTTCCATTTACATATTTCGAAAACTACGCATTTTAAGTTCCAAAATGACCATGACCTATACAATGACCTTAACAATGACCTTCAAGATAATTTCGAGGACAAGCAAATCATTTCAAATGGAAGCACCCTTCTTCATACCGGAATTGGAAACAGAGGGAAATTCTACGGTCAAATATGACCTCGACCATGTCCATAACCATGACCTTCAAGGCCGTCTGAAACGCAGATAAAGACATTGAAAACAATTTCCTCTAGCACAAATATTCTACGACGCAATTGTGAGGTTTATGGGGATCACCCAAAGATGGAGTTGACCTTGACCCTCAAAGTAAAGTCAAAATTTTCAAAGGAACCCCGTCGTTTTTAAATTAAATTTTATTTGTAAGGCAACTCCTTGAATTTTATTCCAAACTTTACCTTGAAGGTGATAATCAAGATCGTGGTTAAGGTCACTTTTGGGTGACCCCCAAAAAAGCTCACGATAAAAACTTTTGCCTGACCTTGAAATCACCCTGAGAGTCGTAATAAAAGTTACACAAAAGGTCATCATCATTTAGCACCCACGGAATCCTACAACCTTGAAACTTTTTTTCTAGGATGCCTAGTTTTCCAAATATTTAGAGTATAGGACAACGACTATTTGCTATTTGTATTCTTGACTAGGTTTGGATGTTTGGAATTGCAGGGAATTTTTAAAATAGCACGAGGAAGCAGATATTTACCTAATAGCTTCTATCATCTGCAGACCCATGTTTACGCAGTTGTAGGCGTGATTTGGACGAGACACAGGTAGACCGGAAACGCAGTAATAACAGTCGCCCAGGATCTTAATCCTCATGCACTGATTGTCCTGGAAAAGAAAATTAATTCAGAAGCCACACGTTCGCACTAGTAAAAATGGCGTCCAGTAGGTTGACCATGCAATGCCGTAATCAGCTCATAAAGGATTAAGTTAAACACATGTTAAACCCTCTGAGAAAGAAATAGTTACGAACATGAACAATAGAGAAAATAAACGGATCAAGTCAGTCAAACAGTCCCTTAGAATTAGCCCATACACATTCTTCCAATGTCTTACCGGTAGTTACCATCGATCTGGCAACGTTGCCTCTTCCCATTTTGTCGGACGTGGCAACGCCCACATAAGCATCGCTGCAGTACGAGCAGACGAACAATTAAGCAGACCGTTACGCCGGATGCTGAGCCCAGATAGCAGAAGCAGACGGATTTAGAAAATATTTCTCGATCATTCTAAGTTTTAAAAATATATAATAATATGTCGCAACATTCTTGCAGGCTATCATACAGTACCAAGGGGTCTTGAGTATGCGTGGCAAGTCAGGTCTGTCTGTCCTGATGTCTGTTGTAGATGATGATTAATTGTGAGATGGTGATGGAGTGATTCTGTTTACAATAGATGATTCTGATGAACTATTACGCATGGGGGAACTAGATGAACCTCTTTTGTGACTGGCATCGGACGATGTTTGCTTTGGAGCCCATCCTGGTAGTCCAGCCTGTTGAAACGTGTATACAACGTGTTATTTGAGCGCGCAGGTGGCTCTGTTTCATTACTATAGGCATTGGCTTGATTCTACCGAGGCAGGATGTTGGGCCTCGATCTACCTACTTCTGAGAACGGCACAAAGCTTTTGGTGCTCAATCCCCATCGTTTACTGGAGTACCAGCTTGTTGAAGTCTGCTATCATCCACTGTGGAGACGAATCCAGCTCCTTGTCGGCTGAGAGCCTCATCTTTGGCTAGGGCAAGGTATTCCTTATAGATGGCTTTGTCCCTACGGTGACGGATTTGACTCCCTGTTGTATTCGATAGCATGGGCTTTCTTGGTGTGCTGCCTTGTGCCAGGACATGTCTGGAATTTCCTGTTACAAAAGCTGCACTTATGACAATCTGTCATGTCTGATGGCTCCCTGTGAATGTTTGTGGAAGTGGGGGCACGGATGAAGGTATCTCCTATGATAACTTTGTGGGCCTTTGATCATGACACATTACAGAGTTGCGCGATCACCTCGAGCAAAAGCGGCAGTTGCTCCTCGAAATGCGAGGAGCTGAGGAATTCAACTGGTCTATTAGGAGCAGATGCTAGGGGTGTTCTAGTCCGCAGCGGCAGTTTGCATATCGGAACAGTTCAATATCGAGAATTGGGGGATGAAAAATCTGATTACGGAAAAAATGCAGACGGCAGTTGCTAAAACCTTAATATTAACAACAATTGATACAGAAGTGATAAATTGAGAGACAAAAACTGTTGGACTAGAGCTATAGAAAAATGATGTTAATTTTGAAATTTTATAAGATTGCGTGTTCCAGAGAAATGTGAAAGTTCTAGGATTTGAATTACTGAACTTTGAGAGTTGGAGGTGAAGTTTGGGTGCGGAAAGTATACCTCTAACATATAGAAGCGACTACGACTAGATTACCCCCGTATGTCTAAAAACGTAAATCCCCTTGAATACTGGATAGCCGCGCGATATTAATCTGTCGGAGACAATCTTCGTATAGAACAACCCAAACATAAATCTGTTCCGTAAGAATGTTCACTTTATTCCATCTCAAGAAGAGAAAATGTTTTCTGGTTTGCGGGAAATGTACGGGGAAATCGACGATGTGTGAAATATGACTAACAAGTGCGTAGAAATACCGGGGTTGGAAGTGTATTAACATACTAACATGAAAAAGTTGTGATATACCCTCTGCCGCATCCCTACGATCCCCTAACCTCATAACTGTTTACCCCTAAAAGTCTTTTCAAAAATGATAGGGAAGCGTCAAGAAACGTACTTTAAGCAGATTTTATTTTTTCGTTTTTGGCATTTTCTTCGCCGCCACTAGACCAATTTTCAAAAAGTCCAAGACGTTTTCTTACTTGGCATAGTAGTAACCTAGTGTGAAAACTTCATCCAAATGCGAGTAGTACTTTTCAAGTTATAGACGGACCAAAGGTTACCGGACAGACAAACAGACTGACGGAACTGAGTGACATAGTTTTTCGCAATGTACGTATCATATATATAACATCCAAAAAAACATAATATCTCATTTTCGAGTGTTTTTGTGATTACAATACTTCCTCGCTTAGTGGTGTAGGAAGTAAGAACTTAAAGATTTCATTAATTACAACGAAATTATACACATATAGCGATTTGGAGGCATATCTTTTGGGAACAAAAACACAGTCCAGACTTAATCAACTGCACATTTTTTGCACGTAGCATGATCAAACACTGCAAAAAACGATATATCCACGCCTGCTATTCCTTTTCATTTTTTCCACGCAATTTGCATCTAGCTAGAATAAAATCCATTGCGATGATGAATTCCATTTTCGCTTTCAGACCTGTAGAAGTAATTATCTTCATACGCTGGATGCACTAATGAGAACTGACTGCGAGGTATTCAGAGAATGATACCATAGAATTTCAGCTTAATTCGGATACTAACCTGTTGAAACAAATTTTGATGGTACACATTGGATAGGCAAGGTATATGCGATATACCATTTTTTTTAAATGTTGGTATTGCATCCACCAAGTAACAATAATTCTGATACTTCTTTTTTTTACCACTGGTTGCTGTGCACCACCCCCCAAATGTTTAGCCATAAAAATTTAAAACGAATGACCAGGATCCTTTGAAAGGACAAAAAGGGTTATTTGTTTTCTATGGCGGTACAAGACCGATTTTCAAAAACTATAAAGATTTTTTGCCCCTGATAAATTAGTAACCTTGTGAGAAAATTTCATTTAAATCCGAGCTGTCCTTCACGAGTTATAGACGCGTCAAGGATTAACGGACAAACTGACCGTCAGACAGGCTGACAGTTAGACCGACAGACCGACATATATCAGTGATACGGTTTTTCGTGTCATGCAACATCCAAAAATCATAAAATCTCCCCTAGGCGTTGGAAGTAAAGAGCATATTTGAAATTTTCTGAACAGTTCGGGCCTTCCTACTGGAAGCCTAGGGACAGTAGATCGCACCTGGTATTTCATAATTCTTAATATACGATGAGGTGATCTCATGAACCAAAGTGCATATCAATAATGAAAAATGTCTGTCTTCTACAATACGTACTGTTGAAATACTTCAATCAGATCCAAATGAAGACGCTGTTAAATGTTGATAGTTATACAGCTTGCTGGCATTCTCTTTGAATCAGATATTTGAAAATATTATTCACATTCATTACACAATGCTTACTACTCACAAAGAAAATTCCACGAAAGAAATGTAGCATGTCCGGCTTAAAAAATACAATCTTGTTGTCACGCTGATAAATATACCAGTGACATAAAAACCCAATTTCAAGGAACCTAATATAGCGACAACATCAAATTCGTGAATGACCAACTGGAGAAAAGGTAGTTTTATAGCAACAAACGAGTATTGTCAGCACATATCCTGGTGCTGAAATTTCTGTTTTATTTTCCTAGAGCGGCAGTAAAACGTAAAAATGAGGATTATTTTTCTCACAGCTCTTGCGTCCAAGCCATGGACGAATAGTGCAGCGTTATTGTTGCCCTTTCAGAGATACAATGAGGATAATATTTATGAGAGATACTTTCGTTTATTGTTTAGTAAACCTCGTTTCCATCTCACCATGTCAGTCTCTTCTCACCAGCGGCCCCGCCGCGCTGGACATCCATCGCGCGTAACAACAGCAAGCAAGCCGGCGCCGCGTAACCAGGAGGTACGGCACCGTCAGTGTTATCACATTATTATTATTATTATTATTATTATTATTATTATTATTATTATTATGATAACTGAGATGAGCAGAGTACACAGTACTATAAGCTCATGCAGTAAATATAGTGTACGGACACGTAACACAAATACATCAAATAGAAAAAAATAAAAAAATACAGTTCATAGCTATAAAGTTTGTACACTCCTCCAGCTATCATACTGCACTTTGAAGCTATTAACTGAAGTAGCACCAACCACACTTTCAGGTAAACTATTCCAGGTGTTGAGTATGCGGTTGGGAAGAAACCACTGTCGGACTGTTGTTTTAAATGGCTCCTTATGCAGTTTGAAGCTGTGTCCGCGTAGATTGCTGCGCGACACATGGTATAGATGCATGAGGTTGGTGCCCATCAAACCATGAAGTATCCTGAACGCAACTATAAGATCGCCACGAAGTCTTCGCTCAGAGAATGAGGTCAGGTTGAATAATTCAAGGCGATCTTCATAGCTTGGTCTTCGTGCTCCAAAAGGGATACGAGTAGCCCGACGCTGTACTGATTCGACGAGATTTCTATCGCGCAGAAGCACAGTGTCCCATACCGGGCCAGCGAATTCAAGAATTGGCCTCACGAATGCCTTGTTAATGTAGGCGCAAGTGTTGACATCGGATCCTTTGAAAGACCTCTCCAGCATATATAGAAGTTTCTTGGCTTTTGATGTAACGTGGTGAATATGCTCTGACCAGGAAAGACGATCGTTAACTACAACGCCCAGATCAGTGTGGCTCGAAACTGCTTCGATGTTGTGGTCAGAGATCTTGTATGTAAATCGCGGATTTGTCTTCCCGAGGTGAAGGACACAACACTTAGTTAGATTTAAGGGTAAAAGCCAACTGACTGACCATTGACAAACAATATCAAGATCTCGTTGAAGCATAGCAGAATTTACGACAGTATTGTAAATCTTGGTGTCGTCGGCATAAGCTGAACATGTGGAGGAAATCAATGCGGGCAGGTCACTTGTATACAGAAGGAACAGCACTGGCCCCAAGGCAGAGCCTTGAGGAACTCCACTTGCTACATGATGAAGGTGAGACTCGCTATCACTGACGCGCACAGAGAAAGTCCTCCCGGAGAG